ATGACATCCATAACTCACTCTGGAATTATTCCCTTGGGCAGTTTAGAATTTCTTATGGAAATCTTTATTTCAGTTTGTTTTTAATAGTAAATCTCTGCTTCCTCAGAAGCCATCTGCTATCTAGAAACAGATTTTTTGTTAAAAAAGGCATACTTCATTTTCATACCAATATTTCTACATGTAAAAATAACTACAGGATCTACACCCCCATTTTCAAGCACTTCCCCAAAACTTCCACAGAAAAAGGAAATAAATGCATGGCAAAGAGAATACGAGCTCAGTTTGACTAACTTTCAAATCAAGCACTGCACCTCTGCGTGGGGAGCATGGGGAGATGCAGTCATGAGGCTCAGGCCTGCTAGGATGTGCCTACATCTGTCTTGGTGTTGAATTCGTGAGATGCACGGGCACTGCTGTAACACACTTGTGCAGCAGATAGTAGTAACCCACCTGTTCAGCAGATATTAAAGCAGAAGACCAATGTCCATCTCGGAAGGGCTGAGAAATTCTTACTTTGTACCTTAACGCTTACGTGCGTACAAATTATGTCTTTTGCTGCCCCTTGCAAACTGTGGAAGTAGTCCTTTTACTCAAGAAAAGACTATTATTTTAATTAACTTTAAATTTGCACTTCCATTTATTCTTCCATTTGTTTTATAAGAGCCTGCCAAATTAGAGAGTGAAAGGTATTGCTTACATATCTCATCACTTGCACTGTTCAAAGTGCCTGAATTTGATCTCTTCACAAATATTAATCTGCCTTGGGGTTCTCCTGAGCACCCATTCACTGAGCTCAAAATCTGTGTTTGCGTGCTGATGTTTGTTCCTGAGGCTCATCTCCCTAGTGAACATGTTTAAACAACTGAAGTGCTCTTACAATGAAACATTCAAATTGAAGCCTTTATTATTATGCAATCTGGGATTTTTTTTTTTTTTATCATTAGACTTCCTTCTGAACCGGGTGGTTGACACTCCCTGTTCCAAATTCCTGTCCCATGAGCTAGTTGTTTGGAAACACTGGCTAGGAGGACAAACACCATGACTTTTTACTTTTAATCTGGAGAAAGTGCTTTCTCACTAGGTATTTGGGATTAAACTGTAACCCAAAGGCAGGCCACAGAAATAGGATAAAGATCAAACTGGACTTAGTGGATTGCTACAGATGGGAACGATGGGCCTGATGCAAGAAGGCGCGTTGGGAGTCAGAGGATTCTTTCACGTGATTTGACCAGTTGCTGGATTAAATCTTGCATGTGCCTTAGGAGAGGAATGTATACCCGCTTTAGCAGCCCTTGTGCTCTGTAAAATAATATGAAAGTGTATTCTGTGCTGTGGCAAACTGAGGGCTTATATACACATTTGCTATTCAGAAATAAGTTATTTCTGAGTAACTCTGTGTCTAAACAATTTCAGTGAAAAATCAGACTACTTTGACTTGACCCTCCAGTCAGATCGGCTTCAGTACAGAACTTCGCTCCTTCATCCATGTCCACGAATGTATTTATCAGGGAATTTATAGTCCTTTACATTCGCTTCCTGATGTGAATTAACTTTCAAGCGCAGAAAGCCTTGAAAGTTCCCTGTGCGTAAAGTAAGGACATCCCTATCTTTTTTCTGGCATCCTGTGAGGCTGTTGTAATCTTCTCCGCCAGGGTCCACCTCCCCGGCGGCCCGTTCGTGGCGTGGGAGAGCTGGATGGGATAGCTTCCCGTTGGCAGGGGGGCGCAGCTCTCGGCCCGGCCAAGGCAGCAACGTGCTGCGCTGCTCCTGCGCTCTCGGGCTCTCTCTTAGCCGGGCAAGGAGAGCGCCAGGGGTTTCGTCGTCTTTCTTGGGGAGTTTTCGTTTGCTTTTCCATGCATCTTCGCGTGTAAAACGCTGCAGCGGAGCCTTCAAGGCGCCGTGTCACAAGTTGCCGGGTTCTCGCAAGCGCCGGGGGAAAACAGATGCACCAAGTCTGCTGCGGTGCTGCGCTTCGGCCTTTCGGAGGGCCGGGCCGTCTCCGCCGTTGCACGAGCAGCTGCCTGCGACTGGGGCCTGAGCAGCGTTTTGTTGTAGTCTGTGCAAAGGAGCGGCGGGAGTTGACATCATTTCTAGCAACAAAGCGCCTGGGGTTCTTTTGTGACTTGCACACGCCGCTTCTCCGGAGCCGTACAGTGTGTGCTGCCTGACTCCAGGAAACGGAGGATTTGTTTTGACTTGCTAAAACAGCATTTGCTGTTTCTCTTTACAGCCTCACCGTATGACTTGTCAATTCTTTCCCCCCTCTGAAGAACGGGAGTTGACATCATTTCTAGCAACAAAGCGCCTGGGGTTCTTTTGTGACTTGCACACGCCGCTTCTCCGGAGCCGTACAGTGTGTGCTGCCTGACTCCAGGAAACGGAGGATTTGTTTTGACTTGCTAAAACAGCATTTGCTGTTTCTCTTTACAGCCTCACCGTATGACTTGTCAATTCTTTCCCCCCTCTGAAGAATAATTTGAGGTTTAATTAGCTGAGTGCAAACATCCTTCACTGCCGGGTGGCTTAGCCTCCTTATTGAGTACATTTACCTACAGAATGAAAGGCGTCTTAAAAAGATGTTTCTGTATTTGTAGGGCAACGTCCAGAGTGCCTGGTAGCTGTCAATACACTGTAGCTATTGACTACCTGTGCATTAGGGGATGACCAGTGATACGGGGACTGGAACTGCTGTGGCTTGCTTTTTATTTATACCTTATGTCCTCTACTTAAGAGCACTTTTTGAGTGTGTTTCATTATCATGTCCCTCACTGCTAAGTTGGAAAAATGATACTCACCTGCCTTGCTGGGATGTCCTGAAGGTGGCTGGTGTCTCCCCCAAGCTCCACAATGACCTTGCCTAGTATGTTTTAAGTGGGGCAATTTATACTTCACTGAACCGCAAAGTTCACTGCGCACCTCTGTTAGACAAGTTCTTAACAGGCTTCCCAAAGCACGACACAGATGTATGAGTATGTACGTGCTTGAAATTCGTCAGCGGCGAGTTTCAGTTTGCATTTCCACCACTTAGAAAATGTTCTCCAGACCCCGGAGAGCCTGGCTCGTTTCTAGGATATTGTCACACGAGCAGCAGCCTCCCTAGTTCTCTGCAAGTCTTGGAGTAAATGTTTGTGCTGCAGCTATAGCAGCTGGTTTCCCTGAATGTGCACAATCGCCACAAATGCTGTGTGGCGGTGTCAAAACCAGTGCAGAATTGCACAAAAGCCACAATCCTCTTTGTAAAATTGTCATCCTTCCTGTTAGTTCCAAGTACTTTTCTTGTTATAAGCACCTTAAAAACACCTGTAGCCCCTATAGAGTGTTCACTCCCCAGGAGTTAAAATTTGACAAGCTCATTTTTACCCATCTCTTCCCTCAAAGATGCTGTGGCTTCTGTTTCATTCTTCAGAAATGAATCATAGTTTCAAAACCCTCACTACCTTAGTGAAATATTCTTTTTCCATTAGCGTTTAACATGTTTTACATGGGTTCAGACATGTTATCAGCACGCTACAGTCCTTAAAAAAAAAGAAAAAACATGTGTGATTTCATGCCCTGGAAACACCTTTTACGGTGTAATGATATGAGAGATATGAGACAAGAGAGCTATCAAGAGATATGAGACATACGGATCTGAGTTAGTCAGATTAATACCATAATGGCTTCTTGGCTCAACAAGCACGTACAGTGCAAACAGAGAGCAGAACAGCTGTAGTAGAGTTACCTTTTATGTGGGTGGTACAGACATCTGCCAGTTAAAATGATCTGGTGAATCATTTCTTGCTATATGATTACTGTTAATAAGAATTTATGTTAACATGTTTGCGTCTGAGCTTTGCACAGGTTAATGCCTGCATTTATTTTCTTAAAAAATAATTTCACAATTGTTTTTTGTTCTTAATGGACTTTCCTTCCTCATTTGAAAGCATTCCAGGACTTCAGTAGTGCAGAGCCGCCAACTAGCCCTTAAAAGATGTTTTTATCTCCATGCAGTGCTCTTTCTGCATGTAATTCCGTACACACAAGCCAATAGTTTCTGATCTGGGAACTTCACGCTCAGCTTCTAAATCCATATAGAAACACTTAAAAAGGGAGCATGTCCTTCAAAATACAGAGTGCTGCAAGTTCCCAAGAAAAGATGAGACTTCATAAACTTTCTTTAAAGCCTCTGTCATTGCAAACATTTACACATATGCTTTCTTTTAAGTAGTCGCACTAATGGACAGGCTTTAGCCATTGACTTCACCGGGTGTAAAACTCCTTGTGTGTAAAATGAGGCAGACTTTTTTCCAGAACTGACATGTTATATTTAGTAGGAGAAATATGAGTGGCAAAATGTTGTTCTTTGAAAAATGTCTTCCACAGCTTACAACGTATTTCAGAGTGTTTGAGAAGTCTGTGCAACAAGTGAGACATTTTATATTGAGAAAAACGTAAGTTTAAGTATAATGAGTGTTAGCAGTCTTTGACCTAAGATGGTCTTGGAATCTCTCTTTGATCAAGGAAATGTAATTTAAAATTCTACTTAAACTTGGTAAACACAGTAGAGCAGGGTAGAGAGATAGTAAACATGATTTCATTAAAACTGCGTGCAGTACAGGTTAGCTAGGATATGTGGTTGGTGGCTGATCCCTGTGAATCCAGTTTACCAACAGTGACCAGAATGAACATGTTGGAGGAATGGCTTGTCCACATACAGGACTCACAAAAGTTATTTAAAAAAAAAAAAAAAAGGCTGGAGAAAACAATTCTAAAAAGATTGAGGAAGAACTCGGCAAATAGCTCTTTTCCTTCCCTAAACTGGCAATTCTGCCAGTCATGGCAGGGGGAACAGAGGACCCTGATGAGCAGGGCAGGAACCTAGCACTGTCAGGGGAGCTGCTGGGGGCTCTTTGACCAACAGGGCCCTGTCCCTGCTCAGTGATGTTCTGGGTTCGTTTTTGCATTTTTTCTCTGCCACATCAGGAACTGCCAAATCAAGAACTCTCATATGTTTTTCCCAGTGTCATCCTGCATCACCACCTATAAGAAGACACCGCCTCCAGTTCCACCAAGAACTACCACCAAACCATTTATTTCCATCACAGCCCAGAGCAGCACAGAGTCTGCCCAGGATGCATATATGGATGGGCATGGACAGAGGGGAGATATCATCAGTCAGTCAGGACTTAGCAACTCCACGGAGAGCTTGGACAGTATGAAGGCGCTAACAGCTGCTATTGAAGCTGCCAACGCACAGATTCATGGCCCCGCAAGTCAACATGTAGGAAACAATACTGCCACTGTCACCACCACCACCACCATTGCCACAGTTGCTGTAGAAGATAGAAAGAAGGACCACTTCAAGAAAAACAGATGTTTATCCATTGGAATACAGGTACAGTATAGGCTCTGGATTGTAATGTAATCTGTACGTTGTAAATTGATTGTAATTTGCCATTGCTTTGAATTTCTACATTTGCTTCGCTGCTTAGTTATACGATGTTCTGTGTATTTTTCTGCTTTGCCTGAGAGGTGTCTATGTAGAAGCTGCAGTAGCCTAATCATTCTGTTGGTGATGTTTTACTAATTTATCATAAATACATCAGAAACAAGGATTTGTTTAAGTCTCCTTGCTGCTTATTATTCAGCTCTGTTAAATTACACACATGAGCACTAATCTATGAATCATAACACAGCAGGGGTCAGAAAAGCATGAATTAAATCATTGAAAGGGAATGTGTAAAACAATGATTTACATTACACTATCACCCGAAAAATATTTTCGTCCAGTCTCACTGAATTAATTGTCGCTGCTTATTCATGCATTTCATAATGACTGGTAGCCACTTGAATGAGGCAGCATTGTTCCTCTCTCAGCCTCAAGCACGGAGGATGGGTTCCTTGTGATTTGCCCTTGTTAAAGAAAATTACACTTTGTTACCTCTAGTGGCGTGAAACAAGAAAACTAACCCAGCCAAGGTTCACTCCTTTTTACAGAAAGGAAAAGAGCAAATAGAGTAATTTAATCTGTGATCTTAATTAATCTTTCCCATGCCCCTTCTTAAAGAATGTGTATAGGAGTGGAGCTATCTACCTGCAGGATTTGGTTTTGCAACAAACTACGTGAATTTGCAGTCAACTGAGAATCAACACGGGTTTTCATGGGAGATGAATCCCAGGCAAATAGGCTAGCGATCTGCAGCTTATCAGCCTTCAGGAAAATACAGGATTTTTTTCTTGCAGATGGAGGTTGTGCTTATAACCACCCATGTGCCTGGACAGGCTTATCTGATTAGTAAAGCCTAAGAATTTACTCCGAAATCTCTAGGTCGGCCTGATGAAAGGTGGTGTGCACAAGTATGCCATCCCAGGAGGCAGCTCCTGGAGAAATTGTGACTTCAGTAATCTCATGTTCCTTCTTGGAAAGACAGTAATTACCATAGCCTACGCATGCAGTTTACTGCCTCTGCTGTAGCCTTTTTCTGCTCCCCAGCAGTTTGTTTTAAATACATTCTGAAAGAAGGGCTAATGTCCAGTGTGAAACGTGGGAAGAAAACCCAGAGGGAAGAAGATACAAGAAAGCTCTTCCCTTATGCCCATATCAGCCAAGACTGAGGTGCCATCTGATTGTTGTGATCTTTCATTTCACTGAACGAAGTGACAAAGGCTCCTTTGCAGACAAAGATCCTGCAAAGTAGCGGGTAGAAAGAAATAACTCCCCCCTCTGCAAGCAGCCAGAATGAACAACGGTAATGTGAACCCTAGTTCTTAAGAGACCATCTCCCAGCTGTCTCTTCTTAAGGTAGTGTTGCTGCAAGTCAAGACTGCTGCTTGGGAGCATTATAGCGGGCTTGGCTTCTGGGATATGAGGGAAACAAAGCCCAAAACATTGTGCAAGCCTTTGAAAATCTCCCTCTAAAATTTTGAAATGTACAGATGATCAGCATAATCAGGATCCATACTCCCAACTGGGCATGGTATGTGAAGAGCTGTCAGGATAGGAACTGTGTACAAACCAGTGGAGGTGTCTAAGGCTATGACTGTATGAGGTGGAATAACCATCAGTGGTGCTATGGGCTTGTAGGATTGCTGCCCGGCACCATGGCACCCTCGCAGTTGTACCTGCGAACCAGGTTTTTAAAGCTGGCCGGGCTTCACAAACAAACAAAAGCGGTTTTCCCTCTCTGCTCTGTGGTCCAGTTTGCAGCATGGTTGCACAAGCAGTTGTGCAGCTGAAGGGCTAGCGTGGGTGCAGAAATACCATAAACTTGCTCCTGCTGCCAAAAGTGACTTCTTTTAGAAAGAGCAGCTCTAAAATAGGTAGGTAGTTTCTCAGCCCTCAGATTGGCAGCATGAAGTCAGTCTCCCTCCACTATAACTAGTTTAGGCTTAAACTGAACTCAGACCAGGTAGATGCCATACGTAGTTTGGCCCATCTCTGTAGAGCAATGCAAGCCACATTAGCCAGTAGCATATTATGGTTTGCTTATTTCTCTAATAAATACACCTAATGTGGCTTGTGGTGAACCTCTGCGTGCATCCTCTGACCCCTCTGACATTGTTAGGACGCTGTATGCCTTTGCTGTTAATCTGTTTAACCAAAAAAACGCTTCCATCCAAAAGGTTATGTCACTGCCGGTTATGGGATTTCTCCCTAACTGAACTTGAATAAGCGATGGCTTTAGGGTGCAATTGTCCCCCAGCATACCTCAGTACCAGGTAAGGGTACTTCACTGAATAGCTCTCTAACTCCCACCCCTCCCCGGTCTTTGATATTGCTTTTCCTGCAATGGGCTGTTAAATTCCCTGCCAACAACAAGCTTATTCACTAGTAGCACAGGAGAGTGTTTGCTGTGCTAGGTGCTAGCTACAGCTGGAGACTGTACGCCTGAGGTCAGAGTGAATTCACAGTCACTTTGTAACAATACTGTGGTCCAGAAATGCTGCGTGCTGGCAATTTTTTTTTTTTTTTTTTAAGATTAACAATCCCATATCCAAGGTTGGGAATTAACAGCTACGCTGACCGGACGCAGCATGTTGTGGTTTTGCTCAGTCAAAGGCACATCTGTGACTAAATTCTAACTTCAAGATAATGCCAGCCAAGAGCTGCGCCTGTTTTCTTTAAATCCTATCTCGCTAATGCTCTGATCCAGGACACTAACATTTAAACTAAATAAACACATAATGTTGATATCACTTCACATATGCACGCACATCCAAACTAACAGGTAAAATCAAACAACTGGTGCAGCAGAGCAGGCAGAGTTGGAGCTTTTCAAAGACTCTGGCAAATCTGTGCATCCAGCCTCCATAAAATGCTGGATAAACTCTGTCTGCATTTTGTAGGCCTAACACTGTCTTAACAAAACTGCTTGAAGATTAACAAGAATGATGAATATTCCACGATTACATCAGCAAAGGGCACACAACAAGTAAACTACATGACTATATGAAGGCAGTTATGGTACAAGCCGTATGTGCAGAAACTCTGTAGTTAAAATACATAGAAATTCTAAATAACGGGGTGATACGTCTACTAAAATACATTCTAATTAGCTGGTTATTTTTTTAAGGTTGATGGTGCTGAAGAATCTACCAAATCAGGTGAAAATAAAGCAACCAGTAAGTTCCAGTCCATAGGAGTTCAAGTAGAAGAAGAGAAGTGGTGAGTAAAAGTTAATATTGTTTTTTTTGAAGTAAATAATTATGTCGCAACTAATTTTTAAGAGTCCTAGTTCCTGCACGCATAACAAAATAACCTATTTCCTGGATGAATTGTTGTTAGATCACCCAGCTGAAAAAAAGTGTAGCTCTTACTTCTCAGAGCTGCTTTTTCCGCACTGGTGGGAGAACTGAATGAAAAATGCCATGTATTTATAAAGGTCAATACACTTCCAATAAGCTGTTTTTTCACAGACAATCTATCTAAAGAGCAGCAAACGATGCAGCTGGAGTATCAGGCTCAGGATGGCTGCAGTAGCGTAGAGCTTGATGTGGAAGTTTACCTTGCTTTTCAGGAGGATAATTTCAGCCAGCTGCAGCAGTGCAGCGGTAGAGCCAAACTGCCTGCTCTTGCTGAGCGAGCTCCCTCGGACCTCTCTGCGTTACAACTGTTCCCTTGTAAAAAGTGCCAAGGTTTAAAAAGCGCGTCTGCAGAAGGCAGTTCTCTTTCAGATCTGCAGCGTAACCCTAATTAGAAAACAACTATCCTCCAATAAATAAAATGAAAAAAAAAAAAAAACTAGAACGGTTGTTGTCCGCAAGAGTTGTGTTTCTTTTTGATGCCAAATTGGCGGAGGGCGGTTCTTTTGCAGGGCAGCGCAAACGTGCGTGGCACTCTACAGACCTATAAACTTGCTGAGGGCTCGGCCGCATCTGCAAAGCCTAATTCCTGCCCCAAAGGGGGGCTCAGTGAGTGGCTGAGAAAAGGGCAGGATTCTGCCCTTCCCTCCAAGCCGGCGGATCTGCCCGCTGCTGCCTTTCCATGGCTGCTGCGGTTGCAGCAAGCGCTGACTGAAGTCTTTGTGCCTTTTTCCTGAGCCGTTTGGGTGCAATGTAACTTTTGGAGACGTTTTGCTCATAGCTAACTGGGGCTGTAGGGCCGGAAGAGCCCCCGAGCAGTCGTGCTTTTCAGTGAGAGGAGAGTACCCCCCCTCTGCAAAGAAAACCCGAGCGCAGCAAAGCTGAGCTGACAGTACTCTTAGGGCCCTCTGCCCTCCTCTGGCCCGCCGACAGTACGTTTTTACACTTGTTTTTTACACATCTGCTAAAAATAATGGAAAATAACATGTAATCTACACTAGTTTAAATTCAGCACATTTCTCTTGGAAAACCAGCAGAGTATTTTCCTGTGGTTTTAGAAGGCTAAAGTGATTTCAGCAAAAATAAATGCGAGTTGCAATGACCTTGTTAGGCTGTTACTAAGTTCCTCATTAACCTGCTAAAACATCTCTTTCTGGCAGACGTTTCTTTATGTGTTAGACCTTAGCCCCAGTTACCCACAACTCTTCTAGCGCTAGATAAATGAGCACATTAGACTAGATGCTGAAGGACCATTTACCTTCTGCCTAAGCACAAAGGAAAGAAATACTCCCAAAGCCCAACCACCACCCTCCCCCCCCCCGAAAAAAGGAAAAAAAAAAAGAAGAAAGAAAGAAAGAGAAAGAAAGAAATGGCCGTTTTAAATACCTTACTTCCAAAGTCCTCTTTCTATTGCTGTTTTTATTGTTCCAGAGGAAAAGGTAAGATTTGACTGCCAGGGTCTGCCCTGTGAAAGGACGTTATTTCTGCATTACCTAATGGCAGCTGTGTTTGGGGGATTCCTTGCTGATAAAGTTGAGTTTGCTGCTGTTTCGAGCATCCTGGCAAGCAGCAATCTATCATGCACTCTCAGAAGTGAACTGACTGATGAGGGACAGCCCCTAATCCTCAGAAAATGAGTGCACTCAGGACACAAAGGGCTTATCAGCACAATTTGGCAGTCATATTCTTTCTTTTTTTCTACACAGCAGAGCACAATGTATTGATTATCTGTTACAGGAATAGAATGGTAAATACGGTGCATTCTTCCCTCTCCCTGCACCATAACATCTGCAGAATCTCAGAAGAGCCCTTTTGAGTTGAATCTTTGACAAATGAATGTTAAAAAAAAACTTTAATCAATCAGAAATACAAAATAAATATAAAATAAGAAGAGAAGAATGACACAGCAAAGAGGATGAATACAGTAAATTAATCACTTTTCTGTGCCAGTCTAAGCTACTGAGTGTGCTATCAAAAATCAACAAAGCTGTCTGCTTAATGCACCAAAAGCCTTCAATAAAAAATTTGTTTCACTCTTCTTAGCGTGCTGTCCTTCCCCCCACTCCCCTTTCTCTCACATCATATGGCTGTCATCCTCACACTCCGGAGCCTTACCTCATGTCCTTTTAAATATTCCTGCTTCTGTGCTTGGACCAAGTAAGCAAAAGATTTTGCCTCCGTGTCTTGATCTAAGTGGCTCAAAACCAGAGCATCCTCAGAGCACGGCTCTATCTCTTCCATCCTCCATCTCACTCAGACCTTTCATTAGCCCTTCACTCTATAACCTGGGCTTCCTGCCAAGACAAATGAGTCTGAATTCTCCTCCTCCTCCTCTTGCTCTGCTCAAGGGATAAATGTGCCTATGGCTCCCTGACCATATTACAGCTGGATCCATCACTGCTACGCATCTTCTCCCCACTTCTTTATGTTGCCTGCTCTCAATTCTTCTTTTTGTACCCATTCCCTGAGCACAGCCCTGCATTTTCTAGCATTTATGGAGTAATTCTGCCCAGTCCTTCTTGTGAAAAAGAACAGTTGTATCTATTACTGTCAACGGTAACCTAATGAACCTGCTGCTATTACTGTCTTCTCTCTCGCCTGATCTCCCTCATGGTACTAACAAAACCCCAAATAAAATCTTCTTCCCCTTTCCTCACATGACCCACCCCTTCCAGGGGAAATTTTGGAAGTATATTCCTTATGAACCTGATCAGTGATGTCTCAGGGCACTTCCATTTCTATTTGTCATTTCTCTCTACCTGTGACTCCATCTGACCTCAAGGGACCACCTTCCCTTCCTCACTTACAGAAGGTAATTGCATTGTTGGAAGGCAACCACAAGTCATTTATTGTGCCAGGCCAATTAGCACACATCCTTACTGACTAAAGGGCAGTCCCTTTAAGCTTTCAGTCCCACAGCTCCATGATCACTCTTAGTCTCTGTTGCACTGCACCTTGTGTGCCCCAAGATCTCCTCCCATTACATCCCCACCCCAAAAAGTATCTTACCATTGCTCCATGTTCCAACTGTCAATTGGTAATTATAATCAGTTTGACATTAAGAGCATTTATGAATGCTTCAATGATGGTAGTTTGTGAACTAAGAATGCTGCCATAGAAAAGCCAGACCCTGGGTGTTTGTATGCATGCTCCTCCTACATCTCCTTTGGCTTCTGCTGGGCAGGGAAGGTGCCCCCACCTCCTGTTGTGGAGCTCCTTTTGTCTAACATACCACATTTGTAGTTCAAGCCCTTTCAGGCTGGGCCCTTTCACACTGAGGAATGATACCTGTTTTATTTTTCTATTTCAGTGATTAAAAAGCAAGAACATAGTCAAAAAAGACTATAAAGTGAAATGGTTTGAAGCGGTGGCAGAGGAATGTAAAAAATAAAAATATTCTTCTGTCTCATCAAGAAAAAGGAAGTCCTCTTCTTTAGTTTTTTTTCATTTAGATTTTTGGTTTTGATCACTTTTTTTTCTGACAAAAAACACTCAGGTTTTAGAGCCTTATCTGCATAGCTGGCTAGTCATACATTCTAATTTTAATTTCTTAACTCTCCAATCTTTAAGGACAGAGCTTTCAAATCTGTGTTTGAGTTAAGATACACCTACTGGGTTGGGACCGATATTAACTTGATCTTTATCTGCAGCATTTTCTGGCAGTGTATATTCTCCACAGTGGAAGACATTCCACTGAGAAATTCTAAAGGATTTTGGTAACATGAAACAACAGTAGAGGATTAGCGTTTCTCTGTTAGGGCTCTATGGTAATGAAAAAAGGTTGTGTGAATGGGAGAGGGGGAGGGACAGAGTAAAAACCATTAGATTCTGTAGCTTGATAGTATGGATAGTCTATACTTTTGTTTGACACAAGTCCCTGAAGATGTATGGCTGAAGATCCTGCCATTAGAAGACATGCATGTCAATGATGTTGGATCTGCTAACTCCTTTGGCAATTTGTTTTGTTCTGCTGACAGCTCTGCAACCTTAGCAGGCAAACCCACAACCAGAATAGCAGAGCCAATAGATAAAATGAGACAGGCTGGATTTAATATAAGTGCCACTGAGATTTGCCATGCTTAAATTGGTTTGGAACCGATTTTCCTCCCCCCACCTCTCTCTCTCTCTCTCTCTCTCTCTCTCTCTTTCTCTTTCTCTTTTTTTTTTTTAAGAAAGAAAGAAAGAAAGAAGTTCCCCAAGTAGAAATGTAAACATGTTTTTCAACAGCAATACATTAAGAAGCAGAGCGTTGAATGCTAACAAGTGACCCTGTTGTTGCTGTTCAAAACACACATCATACTGTTGTTCTCCCTACCGGTTTATCCAGTCTGAGGTTTCATGGCTTTCTGCACCTTAGGCCAGATATCTGCTGTAGTTCTCTGAAGTTGTAATTATTACACCTTGTGCCTTCAGGGCACAACTGAATACAAAAGAGCCAAGCCTGAAGCAGAGAAAGAGGCAAGTCTCTGTCTTTACCTATTTACCACCGTAGACAGCAATTTATGACAACTTTTTGTTTAGGTAGACCTGTGAATGTTTTGTATCTGTAGAAATAGCGAAAACTTAGGCATTGGCTTCAGCAGCTCTCCTGGGGTGTGGAGTTTTAACTGAGAGCAAAACAAAAAAGACACATGGGACACAAAGGGTATTTTGTAAGAGTGAAACATCCTGGAAGTGGATGAGGAAGCTATGTCAGAGACTAAAATTACCATCTATTAGGCAGTTTATATAGGTGTGCTGGAGGCAGGAAGACAGTGAGTGCCTTCCTGCATTTCTGTTTCATTCCACATATATTTCTTTAGGAGTATTTTTTTAATTTTTAACTGATGCTATATTCTCCTGCCACGTTGTTTTTCTTCTGAAGACAGATAGGTTGCACAATCCACTGCCAGGAATCTGTCAAACAAGCCGGTAGCATACTATTATATAGATAAAACAAAGGCAAAAAAGTAGGTCATTCATTTTATTTGCTGAGCACAGTCTGGTTTTAGTGGCGCTAGCTCATATTGAAGCCAGCAAGAGTATACTCCTGAAAGTTTTGAAATGTAGTGCCCGCAGCAGTACATCGCCTTGGTAAGCAGACCTTGATGTGTTCACATTTGGGATCTGGCGTACACTGAAAAGCCAGGGTGTTAACTGCAATAAAATGGTCATCTAAAACAGATGCATATCAGCGGCGAGGGCAGACAAGAGAGCAAAAGAAGGCTGTGCTGTGCAGTTAGAGGCATGGAGCAGAACGAGGCTGATGAAGGGATCTGCTTTTCTCCAGCACCCTGGAAGGTGCAGAAGAGCACACCGGGTACTGATGTCTTGGCTTTCCGTGACCCCTGGCCAATGAGCAAAACAAAATCCTCTGTGAGCGTGTGCCTGTGTGGGCACACGTTTGTGTGTATATGCACGCACTTCAGCGCAGATAAGGGGGTTGTCAGGCTGGTGGCCAAATTAAAGCAATCTTAAGAAAACTAGCATAGACTGGTCCAAAAGATTTTCATTGTAAGAGCAGCCTAAAGCTTAGGTCTTTCTAACCAACAATAGCAGTCTAACAGCTTTTCTCTGCCAGGGGCCTGTAGCAGATACTTAGGAAACATATAAAGGAATAGGGCGTGTATAAAGTGGTACTTCTCCCGGTAGACCTTCCCAGTTTAGCAATCTGTTGTTCAGGGACTTCGGAAGCCAGATAGGACATCAGATTAGTAGCTCTTCCTGAACCTATCTCCTTTGAATGCGTTCAGGTTATCTTTGAATCTATTTTTACCTTTGGTTTTCCCAGTATCCTGTGACAAATTAATTACACATTGTGTGGAAAAATACTTCCTTTTGCTGGATTTAAACCTTTAAGTCTTCCACCTGGCTGCCTCCTTCCCCCCCGCCCCAGTTCTTGTACTCTGAGAAATGGTGAAATATCACCTAGCTGGGATTTCATGGGTCTCTTATATCCCTCCTCAGCCATCTGTTTTCTAAACCAAGAACTGTCTTTCCCCCTATGGAAGCCATACCACATGTCCAGTTATCCTTGTCCTCCCCTCTGAACTTTTTCTGCTGTATCAGTCCGTAGCAAAATGCTTTGCTCTGCTTGTCAAAGGATAAATACTACCAAGCTAAAGAGTTCTGCTTGCTCCATATTTTTCAGTCTGCTGGTGCATATCGTACTAAACTACAATGGCATAACTGTGACTTTTACATCGCTTAACAACCACCTGTTTCAAAAGAACCACAAGCAGCAGCTGTTACATTAAAATCTTTGTATTCTAGGCCATTATAAAAATGTATATATATACCCATACACTCTATTATTATTAAAGTTTTCCAGGTATTTGTTTATCTGAGAAGGTACTATGAGCTTTCTTCTTCAGAGGAATTGGTCTTTCTGTTTTTTAATTGGAGAACTCTTCCCACCGCCTGTTTTCCTTTGCTCTCCAGTTTTCAGAGCCCCACAACAACAGCCATTAATCTTCTTCCCTATATGTACTTGCTGTGCTGTTTATTTAAAGAAAAAACACCCACACAAAAACCCCAAACCCTTTTCTTTCCTGTGCTCATGCCTTTGCCCTCGGCTTTTTTGCATTCTCCTCCTTTCTGTCCACCTGTCCCAGGGTGACTAAAGGTTTACTCTCTGCCCCGAGGGGCTTCAACATGTGCAACCAATGCATGGTGGAAGGAAGGTATCTGCAAGGCAGCAGCCAGCATGATGAGAGTAGCCTACACAGTAGCGGATGATGCTAGCTTGTCTGGAAAAGAGAAGACCATTGTGAGGCTGAAGGTTGAATGTGAAAAACAAGTCTCTTGGACAGCACTGGGAATGGCACTAAAATTGTGAGGATTGGCAGAGGTATTTTCGAAAGAAGTAGACTAACGGGTACATGAGTATGAAGAGTAATTTTGAAGAAGCAATATAAAATCTTCAGTCGGGTTAAAATAGTTATCTGCTTTAGAAAATGCATTGTATAATGTATTGTAGATAGTGGCTTCGGTGGTAAAAGCTTCTCATTACTCTCTGAGAGAGGCAAGGACTGTGCATGACTTTTAAATGGGACTTGTGTTTTTGGGTATGCAACTTCAAAGGAGTGTGAATTTTAAAAGCTGGAAGCTCAATCATTTCTTAAAATTGGACCCCTCTAAGTTTTCTTTGATTGGTAACCTAAGATCCTGAGCTACTAACACAATTAGCTGTCTCTTGGACTAGCTTCCAATTTTGTTAAACCACACAACCATCGGGGCACTTGCCTCAATAAAACAGTGGGGTTGCATGGGAAAGAGAGAGGTGTGTGTTTGTTGGTTTGCTATGAGAAAAGAACTTTATGCCAATCATTTCAAGAAAAACCACAGAGTATAGCACTGAGAGCAGTGACTGCCAGTCTTAAGAGAAGTGGCAGAATCTTAATAGATCCTCTCTTACTGCATTACTAACTTCTCGCAGGTCACCTAGTGAAACCTCTCTAAAGATTTTATGTCTGTGTTCTTCAAGCTTTCGCAGGTTTACACGATCTAATAGTGTAACAACAGCCGTGCAAGCAGACCTGGATTTCCATGAGAACTTTGAAATAATTGACCCACAAGAGGATAATACGTGTTCTGGACAAATGTCAAGACAATATTCGCGAGACGCAAGCACCTCTACTGTTAGCATACAAGGGTCAGGGAATCATTACCATGCATGTGCAGTGGATGATGACTTTGATACAGATTTTGATCCATCCATTTTACCTCCTCCTGACCCCTGGATTGACTCTATCACTGAAGATCCTCTGGAAGCTGTTCAAAGGTCAGTGTGTCCACGGGATGGGCACTGGTTTCTGAAGCTTCTTCAGGCAGAGAGGGATCGTATGGAGGGCTGGTGCCAACAGATGGAGAGAGAAGAGCGGGAAAACAACTTACCTGAGGACAGTAAGTAACGAACTACAGTAATATTGCAACTAGGAAAAAGTATTTAATATAGGTCAAGTTGACTCATGTGAATTCTGTAGCGTGCCCTTTATAATGTAGCTAATAATCAAACTATAGTCATGATTCTCGAAAGGACTGTATGTATGTGTACAATACTCCTTAAATTGGATGGGAAATGGGAGTGCTCAGCACTTCTGAAAGTCAAGCAGTATTAGTTTTCTGGAAATCAGCTCAATGTACAATGGCATAGTTCAATGAACAATTAGGAGATCGAAGTTAGAGATCTTGTAATGTTTCTTAACTCTTCTGTTTGAAATTACTGCTCATAACCTTACAATATAATTTAACAGATTTTAGTGATTTTCATTAAAATCGTATTTTAGCGGTCTTTTTGAGTTGGTTATGAACATCATATTCTTCAGCTACTTCTCTCGACTGAAACAACTTTCAGTTTTGCTATCAAATGAATTCTCTCTCTTCCCCTGTCCAGTTTCTCCTCATCTCCCTTGCAGCTCTCTTTCCTCTTTGATCCTCCTTGTAGAACAAGTTATCTATATTCTGTCATACATATACATTCATATACACTCTGTTGTCACTTCTGCCAGAAGTATTAGCCCACCTGTTATTTATTCACGCTAACGAGTGAAGAAGAGCTGTACGCATAGCTCCCAGTCCAGCACTTGCTCTCCTCGTCCAAAGGAGTGGTACTACGTTAGCTGTCAACTTTTGGACATAGGAAAAACCTGTGAGTTTAGGAATGTGTGCCCTGTCGATGAAGCTTTTTCAGACTCTAGCAGCAAGCCTCCAGAAAATGCTAATGAGTATATGCATACAGAGATCTCAATATTTTATAGTTCAGGGACACATAAGTGTTTTTTGCTGGATATAGCAAATAAACACTTTTCAAATCACTCACTTCCCTTACCTCCTAGCAAAGCAAGGACTGCTTCTTCAGCCTCTGGATTGCGTTCACTAAATTTGTAATTCTTCTTCTTAAAACCAGAGGTACTAAAAGTCTTTTAAGATGTGAAGGTTTTGATTTATGGACAGGAAGGAATTAACTAAATCCCATAAAATAAGAGACTTTGTATTGAAAAAGATGTGTGAGGACATACAAAACAAAATATCCAACATGTAAGTCCAAGCCACAAAACCTATTTGCCTGCTCTTTGCTGTAATGACATATACTAAGGGAAAACCCTACGGGTGTCGTATTTGTCCATCAAAGTAGTCACTCACCTTAGGAAAAGAACACAAAGTGAATTTTGCAAGGCTGATACCTACAGAAAGCGTGCAGCTGATCGCGGACTCTTCTCTCAATGTTTTGGTATCTTTGCTATGTGATAGTTTAAAGGGGTCTTTTTTTTTTCGCACGCAGTGGGAAAAGTCAGTTCTGGGGGAGATAAAGGAGCAGTTTAGCTGGCTATTACCGATTCCTCCTAATACAGCCCATGACTTGCGTCCTCCTCTTTATGTTAGCGAGTGGCACCTCTTGTGCCTGGTGCGAACGGGAGGGGGAAAGGGGTGGCCCATGTTGCGCGGTCACTGGCGCGGTGTGGATTTCGACGTGGTGTCAGCGGACGCTGGGGCACGTGCCAGCTGCTTCCCTCGGCGGCCGCGTGCGGCTTTCTGCTGCGGGACAGTGCTGCCCGGCTCTACCTGGTGCCAAGGAAGGGCCTATGGCCGGGGCCACGCTGTGGCCGCTCTGGTGCCGAAAACAAAAGCTGGTCTGTTGCAAACCCAGAAGCGAATTACGTCTTGTTCGTACCCCCTATAAACTCGGAAGAGAAGGAGAGAAGAGGTTTGCTCAGTGCGGTTTTCGCTCGTGAAATGTAAGCGGAGCAGGGGACGCATCCTTTGTTTCGACCCGACGTCCGCAGCCTGTGTTTGGCCAGATAACAAAATAATGAAAATCTGCGACGAGCGAGGTTCTCCCGATGCCATGGCAGCTGACGGAGGGCTCGTCCCCCAGCCCTCCAAGTAAAGCGATACAAGCTTCCCGCAGACAATGCGGCCCTTGTGCGAAACAGCTGTCTCGGGGAGACGGCTCGCTGCTATTTGACAGTAGCTGGTATGTTACAGAGATACGTTTGGTATTATCTAACCGGGAATGAATCTACCAGATGGGGCTGAATGTTTCGAGCCGGGAATGTAGTCTGCTGCTGTGTATAAAAACAAGCTGTGGTTCAGTGGCTGCACGATGAAATGCCAATATAGAGAGAAATATGGCTCCCCTTCCGTCATGAATTATTTATGGTGTAGAGTATTCTGGTTTTATCCGAAATCGTTTTCTGATAAAACCGTGGTGTGTGTAACAGGCAGATGAATACCGTTCACACTTTAAGCCAGGATACTTGATATGATTTCCATGTATTTGGCTGTTATGGTGACATTGGCTACAAACACTAGGGCTCTGATAAAAGAAAGTTGTTAAGGGTCTGAGGATAAAAGTGTTGTAAGAAATGGTTGAAGCTCTGGATCAGACCTCCAGTGAAATGAAATGCTTACCCTTTTTGTTTTTCTCTTCCCACTCTGCTGTCTCCTCCTGCCCTGCCCCTCCCCTGCAAAATGCCATATGTCAGAGCCTCACTGTGGACTGTGGTGAAATTTGTCTCAGACGCCTTAAGTAGCCAGTTACAAGAAGAATTTGCAGCCACAGGTCTGCCTCCCCGCAGGGTGCTGCTAGCAAACAGCACGTGACCTCTTCTTTTACAGCAGCGGTGGGCACAGAAGCATAGACATTGCCGTGGCCTTGGTCTGGCTCCTGTTGGATTTTTGTTGTTATTTTTAATTCCCAGCTGGCGTTAACCTTTCCAAAAGAACTTGCATTCCAGTCACCTTAAGAAACATTTCTCTTCCATGCAGTGCTGTAATGCAACTTCAGTGTTCAGATAACCATCAAAAGCAAACGGTGGGCCTGATTCACCACAAGGCAGGTGTCATGTGGGTTTAGTGGCAAGATAAGTCAGGCCAATAAGGGAAAAACTAAAATGGAAAACCAAAGCTCTGACAAGACGCATCATTATAACGAGATTGCATCCTTTGGGCTGGCTTGTGAAAAAGGTTGACCTCAAATCAGCAATAACTTAGCTCTTTGAGACTAGAGTCTCTGCAAGTTCAGCCAATTCTATCAAATCATGCAATGCAATGCAATCCCTACTTCCAGCTGTTTTGTTCAGATTTTTTTGAAAGAGAACTTAAAGAATCAACCCTAGAAAGAAGAACAGAAAATTAGGGAAAATACTCTTTTTGTAGTAGTTGTGCACGGCAAAAGAAAATGAGATCTATGGATTCAGTCTTGGACATGAGCAAGTGAAATCATTTGTTGGTCTTCTGCAGGGCCTTCCCCGAGGTGAAAGTGGGGCTGTCATAGCCCCTGTCCTTCTGCGAGGAGCGAGGCTTCTTGCCTCGCTGCATGCCGACACAGTCTGACAGGGGACCGTCACCCACCTGACGCTTGCCTAAGACCTGCTGGAATCCCCCTGGCTCCGTGTCTCTGGCCTTATGCCCATTTAGTCTTTTTCTTTCTCCGATTTTCTTTTCTCCCCACAAGGGACTTCTCTGTCCTGGTTCTCCAAGGAAAGCAGGCTCTGGGATGGACTTCATGCCAATGTTCAGAGGCTAGCAAAGGAAAAAGAAAAATCCACAAGCAAATTGTACAGAACAACATAGTTAGAGGAAAAAAGAGAACTGTGCTAATAAAAGCAGAGTAAGTCAGAGTACACATGGAAACCGAGTTACTCCCAGTGAATAGCGTTCACTCATGCAGAGAGCCCTATTAATTTCAGTGAGCTCACTCCTATAAGCAAATATGACTCAAAGCAAGGACTGTAGAAATCTGCCTTCTCCATAGCTTTCCCAGTTGACTGCTTTCTCCTTAATAGCTGAGCTTAAGACCTGAGCAGTAGCTTTAACTTTGAATTTCCTGGCTTTTGTCATGCTTGGCGTTATTTAAATGTAGCTCCGTCAACATGAATAGGCGAAAATGCTGGTCCATCCTGGCTTGGAAGTGGATTGTGACAGCTCTATGGCAGGAGTGCTTCATATGCACAGTGCACAGCTAACATCTGCAACCCAAATGTCAGGCGGTGGCCCTGTAATTTCTGCTATTGTTCCAGCCACTTGTTCCTGGTGCAGTGAACAAGTCCCCCATCTTCTGTTCCCTAGCTTGGTCCCTGCCGACCAGCCAGGTGTTTTCACATTAAGGGCATTTGACAGTCACAGCCCTAAAGTGTTTCCTTTGTGGTTTGTTAGACCCTGGGGCCTGTCAAAGTTGAAATGCAAAGAGATCTGTTGGTGTCTTAAGGCCGAATAATGTTGTTGTTCCCCAAAACTCCCATGTGGTTCCTGAAAACTCCTTGTATGTGACTATTTTGCACATCAGTTTTGCTTGTTTTCATGTATTTTGTTATCCTTGTTACACACAGAGTCGCTTTCCAACATACAACAGATGACAGTGTCAGTAATTATTTTATTGTGCTTGAAATTCTTTTTTTTTTCCATTTCTCTTCCCATGAAACATATGTTGGGGGGTGTGGATGCATATTGCTAGATAATCCCAAGTAAGTCTTGTGCAAATTTAGAACTAAGAGCAGCAAGAACTTAGTGCTTGAACAGCACATAGTCTATAGTTTGTATTTAAGAATATTTAAAGAGGAAAACAGTTCAAGGGTTTAGGGACAGAGGGAAATTCACTAGCATGTCTATCCCAGAATAATGTTCTGTGACCCCCTAGTCCAGAATAAGAATAAAATGAGGAGACATTCCAGAATAGCTGAATTGCATCAAAATATATACAACAAAGTAGTTCTTCCAGAACTAGACATAAACTATCCGTTTCTTAAAAGCAGTCATTAGATTTATATGAAAGAGAGGTCAAAGTGGAAAAAAAAAAAAGAAAGAAAAAAAGAAAAAGAAAAGAGGGAAAAACTCAAACTGTAAAAACAAAGCACCACACTGCGCACACTTCTGCGCACACCCTGGGGAAAGGGTGACAGCAAAGCATATGATGGATGTTAATAACATTGCTTAAAGCATTACTGGAAGGCATTCAAATCTGACAATGCTGACTGTGCTGTAGAACCCTACATAGAATAGAAAGCAGACATGAATAACTTTATATAGGTGTTCAAATCCGTTATGTCTGCATCTTGATCAGTCAATATTTTTTGCTATTGTTTGGCTGTATACTTTTTGTTTGTATCCTCTTAGCTGAAAGCATCAATTTGAATGTTTGTATTTTTTTGCCCTGTGCTCATCTTCCTTGCTGGTCAAGGTTTCTTCAGTTGCTTTCTGATGTATTTTGAATATGATCTTTGCAACTCCATTTATTTCCTCAGTATTTGGCATCAGACCTCTCAGGATTTTCTCCTGAGAGAGACGAGTACCAGTCTATTTTTAGTTTTTATTATTTTACTACACCTGAGCCTTTTTCTATGGCACTTGAGGTTTTAACTGAGTAAGAGAAATGGGCAGTCTGCCTTGAAACACTAAAAGCAACAAGCATTTGGAAACAGAACTAGAGCTAGTGATAAGGCTTTGTGCCTTCTGGAGAGATTCCTTTCAGTCTTTCACATGCTTTGTCCTTTTTTTTTTTTTGTCCTTTTTTTTTCCCCCCTAACTTCCATGACAGAGTTGGTTGTTGACTGGTTGCACATTAACAGACTGCTTGCTTCTGAGGGGCAAGGAATCAGTGACACTTGACTAGATACAGCCGCGGCTACAGCAGAAGTGGCAACAATAGGGAACAGCATCAGCATGCATCCCACAGTCAGCTGGGATGAGGGGTTTTAGGCAAATAGCCAGTCGCTAGGCAGCCAAGGACAAGGACTTCCTTTCCCTCTGCTGAGATCTCTGAATATGAAGCTTTTCTTCCCTCAAATAAAGGGGTGCGTTCCCTCCCACCCATCGCCGACAAGGTGTACTTAAATTTGCTCGTGCTCGGGGTTGTGATTTCCACTCAGTCGGAGCAGGTTTCCGGGAAGAGTCTGCCTGTTTTTTTTTTTTTTTTCCCCCCCTGAGAAGCTGAGAGACCGTTTTTCCCCCCTTCGCAAGTCTTGGGAAGCGTCGGAATGGCCCCGCTCCAGATGAGGCAGCTGTTCCCAAATACACGCAGTGGGAAGAGTTTTCACAACAATGGGAACCACATGAAAGCTCGCGGAGTGGCTCCTCCTACTATTGAAGAGTCCTTTCAGTTGAGCGGTTTGCATATTGGGTTGCATAAATGACTAGACACACCAAGGGGTCCATTTTCAGCACTGTGCGCATAGAATTAGACACGCAAGCCTTGCTAACAATAATGAGAGTTGTGTGCAAAACTCCCTGCGCAATATGCTGAAAATATTCTGCTCAGTGAATCTTCCAGCTCACAGCTATTTCTTGGCAGTGCTGAGCTGAGTTCTGGGAACAAAATGAAAGTCAGGGCTCTGTGTGTGTTCACAGAGCTCTTTCCTATAGTTTCTGAAAGAATTTGAAAAGACTCTCTCTTCCCCTCCTGTTTTTTTTTTTCCCTTTTTACGTCTAAGGTCTAAACGTACTCCACATCCCACTTTTCCTTCGCCAGCCCTAATAGCTGTATTTACTTTTAAAGAGTGGAACATAGATTGCATACTTCTGTGTATCTGGTTCCAGTTCATAATGATTGTGCCAGTTTGCTTAGTGTGTGAATATGCAAGCAAATGCCTTGGAAAAGCCTTTCTCTTACCAAACCTTGCATGATCGTGTTCTGGTAGCAAACTGCCAATATGGGCTGTGCTCAATCACAGGACTGAGACCCTAAAAACATTGTGGGAAGGGCTGCATCAAGGTCTTCTTTAGCCTTTTTTTATTTTATGAGTCAAAATACTTAGCAGTATTTTCCCAGTGGAACTCTGCCAACCTCATGTTAGGTTTTATGCAAGAAGCGACCTGGTCCAATGGATGGTCCAAGGACATGAGCTCCGATCTAGCATCTCTTCTAGGTTCTGCCAGCAATTCACTGGCTCACCTTGGGCAAGTCACTCGATCTCTTTGTCTTCCCTGTCCCTCCCTCACCTCTCTCACGTATCTAGACTGTAAATTTGTCAGGGAGGAAGAGTTGCTGTGTTTGTATGAGGCCTGGGACAACGAGTAATGCAAATATCTACTAGTAGAAATCAGAGTGAAAACTGTGACACAGTTGTTGATGTTCATATTTTTCATGGAAACATATAAACTATGGGCTAAATCTTCTGGTTCGCTGCAGTTGTTCACAGCGCTCAGTCCAAAGACACGGTAATAACCAGTGCTCTGTACAGAGCGATCAACAGAAAGCGCGGGAGCTGGAGTAGGACCAGCTGATACCTCGCTGCAGGTAGCCAGGAGAGAGGCCAGGGTGTTAACACCGTCTGAAGTACGCATGGGCATCTGGATTCAAAGGCAGAAGCTGCTTTAGATTGCGTTGATGGCAAAAACTCGGAGGATCAGAGTGAGATTCATCCGTGTGCATTAAAATCACCAGCCCCTCTCTGGGGCTCAGATCAAGCAACGCACAGCTAAACCCTGGAACAGGGCGCCGCGTCCCTAAGGGAAAAGGCAGCAACGCTGGTAGAGGCAGCATTTTCCAAACGGTGTATGCGATGTCACAGCTTTTGAAAGCTGTGTGTTATTGCTGTGTGTCAAAGCTTTAGCCTGTGTAACAGTGTTGATTAGAGTTGTAATTTCTTGTGAGCTTTCTACACAGGTTGCAAAAGCCTTTGATTAACCCCGTTTGTAATTTCACAAAAGTGTTCTTCACTGGTTAGGCTTGTTTCGCGGGGGGAACGAGAGGAAGCTTAACAACGCAATACTATTTTTGCCAGTGCCAGCTGCCTTGAGAGCACTCGCAGCATACCTTTACCTAGTGCAGATCTGGCCTCAGACTTATCAGCTGCTCTATAATTCGTGACTCAGAGATACCATTCCTTCTGAAAGCCAGGCCTGACTACTGTACAACTTTCTCCTCTCGGTTTGTAGGCTTTTAATTGCCTGTGGTAATGAAAGCACTGTGACTTACATTTCTTTTTCTTTCAGTTCTAGGGAAAATTCGAACTGCAGTGGGCAGTGCCCAGCTTCTAATGGCCCAGAAATTTTACCAGTTCAGAGAACTTTGCGAAGAAAACCTGGTATGTAACTTTTTCTGATAGATACGGTTGTGTACCTTTTACTAACTAAGGAACTGCCCCATGAATAATCATAGCTAATGAGACAAAGCCTTTCTGACTAACAGGGTCTGCAGCTTTATCTGGTAAAGGATTTGATATTAAATTGGGAGTAACTCTGTCAAACTTGGTGGAGTTAGCATGAGTGTGCAAATAGCATGAAACCTTTAAAATAAGGAAAGGAGAAAAATTTGGGGTGAAATATGACTAAAGTTCTGCTACTGACTTCAGAGGAGCAAGGATCTGGCCTTTGGCCGCTGAGTTCAGTTCACATGGACACAGAGATGTTTAGGCACCTTCTTGAGGTCTTCCACGGTGGACCAGAAGGATCATGAGTGAGGTTTTCCCAGTGCCAATGATGCCTATACACAGCGAAACAGAAATAGCAGGAAATCAGACACTTGGTTTTGGTGCCTCACATTCCCAAACTAGAACACTGCAAGAGAGAAAACTAATTTTCCAAAACTGTAAAAGAACAAAGAGGCAAAAAGTCAACATGTTATGGTCATTATTATTGTATGTAATTGATATATGTGATAGTTATTATTATTTGCTATTATTATACTGTTAGTAGCAGTAGATTCAGAATGATATTCCTGATGATAAATAAAAATACATTTTGCACCTTGTATGTAAAAAACTGTTATCTAAAATGCCAACAAGTACAAAAACTGTCAAGCAAAGTTTTTCATTAACAGCCCATTCTTGCAAAGTAGATGCAATAAACTCAGTTCTCAATTTTGGCAAAAACTCTGCGAAGCCCCAAAAGCAGAGAGCATTATGCTCCATCACCACAGAAGGGAGAATAAACACTGTGCACCTCACCGCAGGGTTATTAACTTGGCTTCTTAGCAAGACCAAGGAGGCTGTCAGTGGATTACTGTGACGCTTGCACCGATTTAGAATTTCAGTCTTAGAAAAACACTTTTTCACTCATCCCAGGCTGATACAATGGGACATTTGCATGACATCAGCTTTCAGCATCTGATCCAGGTCCCAGTGAAAGCTTTAATAACCTCTCCACTCCGTTGAGTGGAAGCTGGATAAGGGCTTGGACATAACCATGACTGCGAAAACCCAACATTTCACTGGGTTGCAGGCCTCATTCTTAGGAACTGGAGGCTTAGTCCTGCCCCAGTGGGATGACTGTCTTCTACTCCAGTTAATGCACTTCTGAAAATCAAGCCCTAAACTAAAATTCGAATGGGCAGATGCAGCAGAAATCAGCTCTATCTGAATGAGCCCTTCCAGTTCTTAATATAAAAACTGAGAAAGCATTCTGTTTGCATATCTTTTGTAAATAAAAGCCTACAGCTGGGCAACCTGCTACGGCAGGTACTAGAGAACAAGGAATCCAGGTAGAGTCTCTTGTTCTCCTTACGAATTTAAAAATACGTACTTTACTGTTTTCTACAGTTGCTGCTCTGGTGGTATAATCATCCTATCAGAATCATCTCTCAGTGTTGCTGTGAAAAGCACAGACAGGTAGAAATTTCTTAAGGCAAAGAACCAGTTTGTTTGAGGTTTGTTGTTTCTGGTGAGGGAAGAAACTTAAACATGGGAAGAAACTTAAGCCTTATAAAACAACTTGCAGGGGTTTCATAATAATTTCTTTATTCTGCGTTCAATAACAATATATCAATGTAGTCTTATGAGGCCACAGCACTCATGAAACCTTACTAACTTTGACTGGCATTGTGGATGCTCAGCATTTACAAAAAAAACAGGCTCTAAATGAACATATGCAACATCTCATTTTATTTGAGTAGTTTCAATTGGGAACTAGCTTATATGTACACATCCTGCAGAAAGCTTTCTCTCATGCAAACTTTGCCAGAGGAGCATTTCATGTATGTCTGTTGCATACGTAAAGTTTTCAGAGCTTGATTGCAGAGGAGGAACACAAGACTGAACTGGACCTCTCCGGTCACCAGCTGCTGGCCCATGCTGTGCTAAAGATGCTAATGGCCTTGGTGCTCTTCTGAGCTGGCGCTGGAAGGGTCATGAACTGGTCTGAGGCAGCTGTGCTCACAGAGCAGCACTACCCCACATGTGTCCAAGTGTCATTGCATTTGGCTTCCCACGCCGTCACCCTGCGCGTGCAGGGCAAGCCTGCAGAAGATGAGCCACACACATGCGAAACACGTGCCACATGTGTGGCACGTCCAGCGTAGCGCAGCTGAGATACGCAGCGTAGGGACGCAGGCACCCTGGCTGTGGTGCCTCTGGCAGGACGGGGCTCAGGCACTGGGCTCAGCATACCACTCTTCCCAAAAACATGCCTGTGAAAGTGGGATTACTGTGTTTCTGCGTGTTCTCGTCAGAGCTCTTCACTCTGCAGAGATTATTCTTGCCAACAAATATGAAGAAATTGGCCTGAGGTGTGTAACAGGCATTTTTACTTGAAATGCTGTTATTAGTCTGTAGAGTTTCAGTGTGTGGAAAAAAATATTCATGCGCCAGTATGTCACTATTTGCAGCAAATGTACGTTTGCACAGGTACCAGTCTTTCTACAAACGTAAATACAGCAAGGAATCCTGCCTCCTTCAAGTGAGGAGAAGGCTGGCAATTCATTTCAGCGTGGTCAGGATCTCACCCGTGAACCCCCAGGCTGTGCTCAGGAACAGGCTTAGGCAGATCCCGTTACAGGGGACCTGCAAACGCCCTTTCCCCAAGGTCCTCCACGGGTGGCTGCTGCTGTCGGGGAGCTGGGGCTTGCGGGGGCACAGCTGCTCGAAACAGAGTCAGGCTCTTTGCAAAAACCCAGCGAGTAAGTAGTGCTCGCCTTTGTTTCTCTGAATTTCCTCTCTGTGTCTCACTGATCGTTTGGATCTGCTGAAACTGCTTTGCCAGCAAGATTCGTAACCATTTGCACAAATGCTTTACATTAAGAGGTACTAAAGCCAAACTGTTTTTTTTTTCTTTCCTTCTGTTGTACAGAATCCTAATGCACATCCACGGCCGACCTCCCAGGATTTAGCAGGGTTTTGGGATATGCTGCAGTTGTCCATAGAAAATATTAGTATGAAATTTGATGAACTTCATCAGTTAAAGGCCAATAATTGGAAACAGATGGATCCTCATGACAAGAAGGTAGAACATTGTAGATTTTGTATGCTTCATTTAAAACCCTGCACAAATACTGGACAAATTAAATAGGCCTCTGTGTTACAGCGCTGACGTTAAAAATGTGAAATGAAGCTCATATCAAATTAATTTCATTGTAATAACAATGTTTACATAATAATCATCTGGGATATTATCTGTAATATGTTTCAGGCATATTTTTAAACCAAATCTGTCTTTGTGAATCGGATACTGGGAATGTGGTACTTTGTTAAGCTTTACATTTAATCATATTAGATGATTAATCGTTGGAAGGAACTGCCTTATATATTGATTCTTAAAATTAAATAAATCACATTTACGGTTCAAATTATTGCATATAGCAAGAGTTCTAGGCTGTGTTACTGAAAAAACTAGGGAAGTACTGGAATCATCGCTGACTTTGGTAACCAGATTATCAACAGAGCAATATCAAAAATATGCCTTCCAAAATGTTACATGAGACAATTTCTACATCTTTTTTTGTTTGCTCGTTTGTTTTTGTTTGTTTGTTTGTTTATTTATTGACAGGTGATTTCATAAACAGTTTCACTTTGCTGGTAGCGTTGTTTACCCAAGGTAGCAGAAAAATCAGCTGGAGCTTCGGTCTTTTTTTTTATATGTGGTCTTCTCCTGTCACCATTAGAAACTACTGCATCTCCAAGTGTGAGCCACATGTCACTTTTCATTCTCATTTGGCACCATTGCCTTATTTTCCTCCTCACTATGCACATCAAGACAAACAGCACCTGTCTGAGCCAAAGTACACAAACATTTCAGAATATACTTAAAAGACAGACCCACTCCTAGAGGAACCAAAGGTCTAATGCCCTGCCGCACTCCTATAAGCATTTAGTTTGACGGCTGAGTTTCCATTAGTCTCCCTGTGACTCGTCTGATACCAATGAATATAGCAAATGGGTAGGGATGCCAGAAGGTGGGGGAACATGATTTACAGATACTGTGGCTCAGATAGGAGTCTGGGCTGCCCAAACTTCTGGTCAGCTGGGATTCAGCTTGCTGCTGACAGCCAAAGTGGTGTTTTCCTCTGGACAAGTAACAATAATAATATCAAACCCCATTAATCTTGCAGCAGGAAGTTTGCAAAGGCAATGCTGGTAGCACTCTTTCTCCTCCGATCAAGACTAAATGCTCATTCCCGAATTAGGAATGCCATGTTCACACCATTTGTGCACACCTAGTGTTTGATAGGGGAGTGAGTGGGAATGTGTTTTCCTAGCACAAGATACTGAAGGCAAGTCGTTTTCTTATCTTCTTTTTTTTTTTTTTTTTGCAGTATCTGTCAGAAAAGGAAGTTAAAAACTTCAAACATGCATGCATAGATATGCTGGTATATGATCTTGCACTAGCTTATAAAATAAAACAGGTGGGCTGAGTGTTTCTAATTCGAGCACTGAGAAAGAGCTTTCCTTTAAAAAGTGCCTTTTGTTTGCTTCTGAAAAACATTTCAAAGAGTTTCCAGCAAAAAGAAGACAATAATGAGTTAAAGGAAGTTAAGTAGTACTGAAGAAAGGGTCACATATGACCTGCAGTAGGAAGGTAAAGATTACTCATTGTAAAGAATTACATTGGCTTTGTTCCTGATTCACTGAACATTTGTCTATGATTTTAAATGGAACGGATCATCTTCTTTCTTAAAAACCAAAAAAAAAGAAGAAAAACTTCCTGTGGAATTGATATTTGCAGTTGCCTTCGGCTTTTCCCATTGGGTCCCTTTTAAACAGCGTAGATTAATCCTTGGATGGAGTGAAAAAGCAAAGTATGAATAAGTGTAACTAAGCACCTTTATATTTCGAGCAATGGAAGCTGTTGTGACCAGCATGAGAGCAAACGAGAGGGTAGAATGGGACCTTTGTAGTGTGATAAAATCCCTTCGCTCAGAAACCATGTTCACAGTTGGAAGGGGATGTAACTTAAAAGACAATCTAATTAACTTGACAAAGTCTTTGTGGCTGCCTGAAATTCAGACCTGAATACACTTTTCTTTTCGGGAGAGATCTTTCTCTGATTTTTTTTTTTTTTTCGTACGCTTACACCAGGATATACATAAAAGTCCTCCTTGTTGACCGTGTATCTGGAGCTGCCAACGTGATGATTAATGCATGTTCTCTGAATGGTTTTTAATTTTTTCTTACTAGTTTTTCAATTTATAGCTGATTGTAGTTTGCCATGACTGTTTACCACAAGGCTAGAGTTTATGAGCTTACGCAGTGAGATCCCAAGTGTGACTTTGAGCAGTTATGTAGTCAGCCAGTACAAAAATACATAAATACATGTATTTTCTTCTCCTGATGCACCAACTCCAGGCAGCTAGTTTACATCCGCATTTTGGAATATGAAATCCGTGACACCTCAGTGTCGTAAGACCATCTAGTGTTACGTACGTATTGTTTTCCAGGGACGAGGCAACGTATGTGTTTCAGTTCTGTCGCGGCAGGTCACTGCTACAGGAAGCTGAGCGTGTTAACGAGACTTAAGGGGCGTCTAGGAGTCGGGGCTTTTTAGGATGGCTCTGGCAAGAGTGGAATTTGTACCGCAGACGCACGCAACCACCGTAGCGGTACAAGGTTGTGTCTAAGATGCTCTCCTTTCTAGTCGCTGGCACCAGGAGGAGACGGCCGGATTCCCCAAAGGGAACCGCACTAAGTGGTTAGCTGTGGGAGCTTCGGCCCTCTCAGCGCCAGGCGTTTCATACGCACCGTCCCCGCGGAGAACTAGCGCGGCTTTCGATACTACCCCTTCCTTTAACCTTACGCTATTTTTATGAACCCTTGAATACAAAAGCCAGGTCCCTGAAGACAAAAAGGCAGATAAGAACTAACAAACCTTAGGTAAAATGTGTGTTCTAACTACTGACATATCCTAGTTTTTCCCACCTTTCCCTGAGAAGCTGTATAATGTCATTAACCTTCTGCTTTGATCAGGAGAGAAGGGTCCCTCCTCCAGTGCCAAAGAAGCCATCGAAAGGTCAGGTGCCACTCATACGAGAACGCTCTCTGGAAAGCTCACAGCGTCAAGAGGCCCGGAAGCGGCTGATGGCTGCCAAACGAGCTGCATCCGTCCGGCAGAACTCAGCTACCGAGAGCGCCGAAAGCATTGAGATATACATCCCCGAAGCCCAGACCAGGCTATGAAGGGATCCACCCAGGAGGACTCTCACTGGCAAGACAAGTCTCATGTATAATCTGCCCCTCTAGGTTCCTGCTCAAGGTCACCATTAAGTATTTGTACTTCCTCCCTCTCTCGCGCTCCCTCACCCTCTCTTTCCCCCTTCCCGCTCCCTGTACACGGTCCCGATGACCCCATAAATTCCACTTCTGTGGTGTAGTTGTCGACCCTCCAAGAGATGTCCTCTTACTAACCCTTGCTTCCTAAAGGTTTGCCCATGTCATCATGATGCTTTGTCACATGTACTGATGCTGCCACTTTGCCTCATGTAAAAGAGTACAATCCTTTTTCTGTTTGAAGCAAATAAACACGACTCTCCGACTTCCATACACACACGCGCGCACGCACACGCACACGTACACACACACACCTGTACAGTAGATGCTCCATTTAACTTATTCATGGTCTTTAGTTGATCTAAAGCTAGTCTGTTACCTAGTGTACAGCAATATCAAACCGTAGGGGATTTTGGAAATTTCAGTCATGCAGGGTGATCCTTTTGGACTCTGCCGTCTTCCTCATAAAAGATGAAAGGAGCTATGACTCAGATTCCCTTCTTTTTATTACTGTTTTTTTTTTTTTAAAGCAGATGGCGCACTTTATTCTAAACCTCTGAATCACACCTTCTCACCTGAATTTAAGGAGTCACAAAGGGAGGGTTTGGGGTGGGAGTGTGGGGGTGGGAGGGGGTAGAAACACAGATCTTGTGGTGAAAAAGAGGAGGTATATCCCGCAGGTGAGATGGTGAGGGATAGAAAAGATCCTGTGGAAAGATACCTGCACACTCAGAGCTGCACAAACTGCCTCATTTTTATTTCATCAATCACGACTTAAACATTTCAATCAGCAGAAGATTGTAAATTCGATCTTCCAGGGAAATAATCTATTTTGAAAGGCAATAAAAGAGCAAAAAGGAAGGAGATAAGAAGCAATGACAGTTGAAGATAATGTAAAAGAAGGATTTTCTTGTCCGAGTATTAAGAATTTTTAAAATTGTACTGTATTGTCAATTCCTCTTGTATTGTATTGTATGGATTATATTGGTTAAAAAAAAAGAAAAAAGAAAAAAAGCTTGGTTTTGTTGATGTCTTAATCTTGGTGGGACTATCCAATTTCACACATACACACAGCCACACACAAACACCTGTAACTGAAATGCTGTAAACGGGACCTATGACGCTTTTCCAGGCGAGGCTTGCTTTGCCCTATACACAGCTGGTTGTACACTACAGTTCAAACCGCTTGTCACCAAATGGGCCATACCTAGGGGTAAGTTTCTTTTTCAGTCTCCTAATAATACAAAATACCCGTTTGAACAAGAACAATGAAGTGTTTTTCACAAGTTATGGGATCAATATGAACTTAGCTTTTTTTCACGGCAGGCCTTCCTACCCTGGTTTCTGCCATTGCTTTGCAGTCATCAAAAATGTGCATCCCAAGTAGCTCGTTAATCTTGGGGGTAAATCACAGACAATTGGGCTGGAAAGGCTTGTGAGAGGTCATCTTCTGGGGGAGTCTGTGCCCCTGGCCACCCTGGCTGAGGCAGGAGCTTGTCCTTGAGCTTCTCTGAGGGGGAGATGCCAACCAGACGCTCACGTGCCAACATGAGGAAAGCTGCGTCCGGCATGTTGCCGAAAACAAGTTGTGTGTGCGTGTGCGTGTGCGTGTGTGTGTGTGTGTGTGTGTGTACACATGCCCAGCTGGCGTGCGCTGGTGAAAGTCGACTTGCTGAGAGCTGGTTTGGCTGGTGTGGCCGTACCAGGAGCCACGGCAGAAGAGTGCTGCCCTGGCGTTCGTGGTTTTGCACTCCTCCGCTGGCCCTCGCGATCGCTTCCCCTGGCGCCACGTTAGAGCCAGGGGTACGCAAGAGAGGAAAGTTGCCGCCGTCTCTACACGGGAACAGGCACGGGGAAAAATGCCCCTGACGGAGGGGCACGGCATGCATGACGCCAGCCCAGAGCTGGCTTTAAACGCCCTTAGCTGTTAAAACGGTATGAAGGGGCCGACTGTGAAACATCCCACAGCGTGGCTGGCATAATGCTGTAGCTCGCATTTAAAAAGCATTTGAATTTGTCATCGAAAAGTTACACTCTTGCTAAAACTGTTCGTCAAGATCATGCCAGACAGCTTATTTTACTACAACATCATAGCCAGGTGCTAATTTAATTTTATTCAAGAAAATAGGGAGGTAATAGGTTCTGGCGCCAAATATTTCCATGAGAGCATACTAAAACCACTAGAGAATTTGCTACCTCTCAAAGCCATTGATATCTGAGCTATGTCTTTATAAACAGGGCACAAATATTTACTGCTGTGGTTTACAAGATAAGGGCTAATAATTTAATATATAAAAGACTTTTAACTAGAGTAATCAGAAATCCAGTGTAACCCTAGCGTGCTTTGTGTTACAGGAGTTTTGAAAGGTTTCACCCTCTAAGCATGTGAACACCAGTGTATTTGCTAGTTTTAAAAAACTTCATTTAACTTTTAGCAGCAATGAAAGATCACACTGTTTGCAGTATATAATAGTGCCAACTGCCACTTTTGAGCATATTGTCATGTTAAGTATTAATTATTTGGAACTCATTTGTACTAAAATATACAAAGCAGTATCGAGGTGAGAGTCCACATTCAGAACTGTTTAGACTATTTAGTTTTGTGAACATTTTATGAAAGATGAGTTAAGATTTTGGTTGACAAGTGGCTACAGAAATTTATATCTAGCAAGCTCCAAAAAAAAAAAAAACAACAGAAAAGCAAAGACTATTTTGTCTTGTACATTATGAATTATTGTATTTGTATATCATAGAATATTTTTCATATGTATTTTAAATAAATCTATTCTTAGCTGAATGCCTGTTAGTTCATTTGGCTCTGCAGAGGGTATTATGATGTCTGCTTAGCTTTTTAGCAAAATCTAAGAAGTACACCCGGGACCAGTAAATTTAAAATAAAATACTGCCCTTCTGCCAATAGAATGCCACTAGTTAACCACTTGACTCATTTAGCAACACTAATATTAATATATTTGCACCATCGTTTGCTTTGGTATAACTTATAACTATCTGTTTTCAGTCTAATCTGCCCATTGTAAATTAAAAACGCCTATATTCTGTTTTACTTTGCTACAAAAGTGTTGGTTTTTTTTCTGGGGGGAAATTTTAGAAAAGGTTGTTTTTGTCTCCTGCTTTGAAAGTTAAAAAAAAAAAAGTATTTATTATATTTTTTGCAGATGTTTCCATAAAATTCTCATAATCTTTTTGTAAAGAAAGATGAAGAAATGGATTAAAGATTTTTAATATTTGAAAAGGTAAATAGAAATAATTTATTTGTAATATATTTCAGTTTATTTATTGATGTTCCCTTAAGGTTTTGATGTGCACTATCACTTTAATTTAAACTGTATTTTTGTGATTTTATTGTTTCTTTTTTTAAGGTCAAATGCATATTTTAAGTAACTGCAATGTAAACCACTGGCCTACCTGCATTCCCAAAAGTGATTTTAAACCTGTTTTTTTGATTTGAAACAGAAGATACAAATTTGAAAGCCTTTAGACAGAGGAGAGTGTTTTTATGGCTTAATGATTTGGGTTTTCATAGGATTATCTATATCTAGTTTGTGTGTGGACAGGAAAATGTAAATAGATGAATGTTTCCCATAATGTACAAAGAGCAAAGTAATAAAATAATTAATGCACTGCTTGTAAGAGCTGTGGGTTTTCAATGCAAATTCATTCTCCCAGAACTGTCAAAATGTTTCGTTTTGATGTGGTCCAGGATGAAAGCACACTAAGCAGAGCGTTTCTCTTAAGCTCTCATTGCTTAAGCCTGATCCTGCAAAGTCTCATTCGAAGAGCCCCACTGAGCGCGCTGGAAGGGCTCATCTGCACAGAGTTACTCGCTGGCGCGAGAGTTACCGCGCTCAAGGCCTTGATCCTTAGCGAAATCTTCAAAGGCAGTGCTACATGGCGTCCGGCTGAACCCTGCCGAAGATGACAGAAGTTACGCTAGTGACTTCAAAAGAAGCAAAAATGAGAAACCCTAAGTCTGTTTATTTTTCACCACACTAGTTCCCTTAACGTTGTACTTATCTCCGAGGATGGCTGAAACACGGTGGGCTACATAGCTCCCTGGCAGAGGCAGCTGACTTTCCCTTCGCTGGAGTCCTACGTTTTTCCCAGTGCGTGTAATAAAGAAGCCTCTTAATCCTGCAGTAATATTTCCCTGCTGATCTTGTTCATAGCTACACCAGCAAATGCTAGGATTTTGCCATATTTCAATCTACTGAGCCTAATAATTATATTAATAACATGCCAGTGCTGCACAAGGTACCATTTGCCAGCTCTTAGGCCCTCAGCACAGGAAGGTTACAGTGATTTGTGCCAGTAATCTATGGACAGGGAAACTTCCGCTTAAAGTTTTATTACCACAAAGATCCAACTAGGATGTGGGATCGCCCTTCATCTTCTGGAACTTACACTCTCACTGTTCCCTGAAAAACTGATAAAGCAGGGATGAAAACCATTTTTTTTGTTGTTTCAAAATATTTCTGAGGTGGCTGGGATTTTTTTGCATGGAGAGTGGATCAGGTGATGTAACATAGCGGATATGTTTCTGACTGGTCGCCTGCTGAAGAAAAAGGAAGTCCAAACTATGGCTTGTAGTCGTTCCTTTCATGCTCACTGAAGGTAAACTTTATCCTTATTTATACTCAACGGTCCCTTCCAGATAAAGTTTTGAGCCTTTTCCATACGCATAGCTCGCTGTCAGTTTGTTTGCCAAAGACTGTTCTCTCCTGCTCTGGATATGCATTCCAGCACCACTAATAGGCAAATAATAAATTTTTACCATCATCTTGGAGCATGCTAACCTCTCAAAGCTGCTGAGAGTTGGTGCTGACATTGAACTAACACTTTTTATAGCACTTCTTGATAAAAATCTTGGCAGTTCATCTGCCGTTGGTATTTATCGTCGGAGTCTTTGGTTTATACTTCAGCTGAGGGGTGAGACAGCTCCCCCTAAATGAGGGCATCATACTCAATTCTTTCATGTTTTATGAATAACTTAGTACTTTGGCATCCTATGGGCAAGTTGGGTGAAAACTGGCACCTCTCGCTTCCTTGTCTATTATAACTAGTCTGGTGACATGCAAACCACAGTGCAGGTCTGCTTTTCTTGCCCTTCGAGCCTTCTGAAGGAAGAGTGACTCAGTGCCAACGCCAGCTGAGCAGCGGGGACCGCGATCCCTCTCCGCACCCTGGGTTATCCCTGTGCCACGGGGTAGCGCTCCGGTGCAGGCGTCGATGACCAGCCTGGGGTAAACAGGCAGGGTTGCACCGAGCGAGCCTTGGACCCGCACCCACGGTCAAAGGTATTTGTCCTCCTGCCCTTTAGCCACGCAATGTCTGCAAAGCTTGCTGTCCCACCACCCCAGAGTCATTCACAGCTATTCCCCTTGCTTTTGTACGCAGAAGGGAGGGTGTTATGGTCCGGTCCCTCATCTGCACTCTTGCTCCATCGCTATTGTAGCAAGACAAGGTAGCTGCTATCATTAGGTTCATCAGGATCCATTTGGACACCAGCAACAAAATGTGACGTGACTGGCTTTTTCAGCCAACGGTCCGGCTTTCCCACGCTTGGGCCTGATCAGCGGGCAGCACCCTTTTCGGCAGTACAAACGAATCCAGCCGGTCGTCTTATTTCTCTGCAAGTCACATGCCCAATCTGCACCAAGACAAAGCAACACGGAAAGGAGCAGGGCTTCCTGGTAATTGTGTTTTTCATGGTTCTCTTCACTGATCCAGTAACAACATAATCATAGAAATTAGAGACGGGAAAGCTCCACTGGGGCATTGTGTTAACACTCTGTCAGTTCAAGATTGCTATCTGCTGAGCTGTGGCAGGTAAGTCATCACCTCAGTGACTGGGCTCCACCCAGGGAAAAAAAAAATAAAAGCATGAAGGGTAAGAAGAAGGGGGGGAAAAAAAAGAAGAAAAAAAAGCAACCTAAGCTGTGACACTGCCATCACCTATTATAGGTGATTCTTCTTCACCGTGTCTGCTCTGCATAGAGCAATCCCCGTGGCTAGGGGCCTGGCTTTTTCTTTTTTTTCTTTTTTAGCCAAGTCGGATGGAAGCAATTATGGATTTTGCCAGCTCTATTCAGAGAGAAGAGAAATATTGGAGTGTTTCAGAGCCTCTGGAGAGCTCAAACATTGCATAGTCTCAGAGTGTCTTATGGAAGCTGCCATTCTGCTACGTTTTAAAGCTATCAAAGGTTCAGGGAAAGGGATGGGCCTTGCGTGGAGCCAAATTAACAAAACAACAAAAAAAAAGCAACAGGACAGAGGGTGAAGGATATTTTATGGGTATCAAATATCGCACCAAGGTAAGATAAGTCACTTGTGTAAACAACCGTGTGCTGAGGCAAACATCCTAGTTCAGTGCCTGTAACTAGGCACTTGCATGTTTAATAGTAAAAGGTAACCCCTTCCTATGTAACTAACCCATTTCACAAGGAGAACGCCGAGCTGATCAATCCTCCCTGGCTTTTAACGTTAAGAGAAAGAACTATCAGAAATATGTCCTTGAAATGCATGGCTTATTTTTACTATTGTACTGGCCATCGGTGCTCAGAATTGCAATCTGAAGTTACCTCATAAGTGTGTGCTTGGTGCTGGGCTGGTGCAGTCCTGGAGCTAGAACTGTGCTGCTCCTTCCTCCTTCTGTTGCATACGCTCTAGAAAGTATGTGGCACTAAGAAGTCAAAGCATTGCATGATTTGAGCTATGTTATTTGTCGTCTCATAGCATAGTCTTTTTTTTTTTTTGCGGGAGGGGAATAAGTGATGGTAATAATAGCTCACTCTGTTCCAGTTTTTTTGCCGCTCTTAGGAAGAGAAGTTTCCTACCGTGTGAAAAAAAAACAATACCGAGCTTTCTTTAAGTTGCAGATAGGCCTAGTGCACATGTGGCTTGCCAAAACTAAGGAGAAAAGGAGCTAACTGATGCACCTCAGTGTGTGCCATTGCTCATCCCTCCACACAGGGAAAAATTGGTACCAGTCAGGCAGCTCACAGATGATGTACCAAAACTGCTTTGGCATCCTGCCGTGCTGTGAAAGAGAGAGTCTCTGCTGGCCTTAGGGAAGGAGAAAAGCAGGAGGAAGAATAGAGCCTGGCTGGAGGAGCACAGATATCACCACCACGATTTGACCCATGCCCAAAGCGTTTGCTGTCACTGCTTCTAGCTACAGCTGAGGGTGGAAATTCCTTCCCGTCTCAGATCCGCAAAACCTAAGAATCTGTTTCATTACATAGTTTCTAAATATCCTGCATCCCTTATCGGTGCATCAGTGCCACCATAATGACCATTTACATCTCAAATTGCAAGCCTCACATGCATGGCGGCAGCATCATGGTCTCCAGCAGGCCCTGGGCCCCTGGCTGAGGGCAGGGAGCTGCGAGTCCTTGTGCAACACCAGGGCTTGCACTGGGCAGCACTTGGTCATGGGCTACTGAAATGATGCCAGCGCCAGGAGAACGTGGCACATATTTAACCCAAATAATGTTACTCAACCATTTCAGGTCAGTTCATGGATGTTACTACCATGAAGTAAGCCTTTGTGGTGGGAAAAAGAGTATGAAAGGGTGGGTCTTGTTTTCGTGTCACTAGCAACTGTTTAATCCAGTGTAAACAGCTGTGTTTGATTTTTTTAGTGAGGTTACGCAGTTGCATTTACCCTGTAAGGAAAGGAAAGAAACTTCATTGCAGTGTAATTGCCAGGTCTGGAGTTCTGCCAACATATAAAGATGAACCTTCAGTTACTTCAATGGAAAACGTCCGTTTGTTAACCTCCAAGCGAGCCCGAAGATCTATGCCTGAAACACTTTCATTTTAAGTCATGATCACAGGCAAGAGCAAGGTCACTACTCAGACTCACTACATGGTCAATATTGTTGCCATTTTAAAAAAGTAAAAACAGGCAATTTATGTCAATGAAGCTGTACAAAAGTATATAGCAGATACCACTGCTGATAAATAGGTAGCATGTGTGTATCAACCTGAAAGACTCTATGAAGTACTGTTTGTATTAGTACTCTGTGCTTCAGCCAACAAAAGCGTTTCCTTTTGTTTACATCTTTCCTGGCAATAGCATCATGACAACTGCTGCCTGCCCGCAAGAACGTACATGGAACTGGGAACCCGGCCACACGTTAGCAAATTGCAGTATACTTCACTCATTTCTCAGCCTTTGCTTAATCGCCTTGTGCTTGTCTACGAAAGGGAAAAAATGTGATGTGCATGCAGTACAGCATTTTATTGTGATGATTTCTGTCAATTAGCTTCTCCGGGGGAACGCTGAGATTTCGGGCAGGAAGCAGCCCACGTTCCATACTTGTCCTCTCAGGCAAGGAGCTAAACTATTTCATGGTAGTGGAAGGCTGAAAGCAAAAATAGGAAACTAAGCCAAAACAAAGACAACCTGTTAAAGCATCCAGAGTTTGTCATTTCAGTGTTATCCAAGCTAATTTTGTTTGTCAACAGTTGCGTAAGTCAATATCAAGAAGCTATTCGGTAATGATTTTTAATGGGAAATGTTTTTATGTCAAATAGCATGTGTGAACTTAATGCTAATGGTCCAAGGTTTTCCAACATGTCAAGCAAGTGTGACATGGGTGTTGGCACAAGTCATTGCCCTAC